CAGACAACTATGAGCCCAACGAAACTTCAATGCTTTTTTGCAGGTATTCTCCCTGAAAATAGCTTATAATCCTTACAGTTTGACTTCAATTTATTGCCAAAAGAATCGCCACATTTTTCCACATAGGATGTGCAATAAATTGACTGAAAATATCCTATGGGCTAAATCGGCTTCTTATGCGCCCCTGTCCTTTTCTCAGAGAAAATTGTTAATTTCAATAGAAAAAAAAATTTTATTTTTTATTTTTTTAAAATTTATCAATTTTAAAACCATCTGTCCTTTCGTCGAACAAAAAAAGAAAAATCAAAGTTGTTTAGGATTATATATGATGAAAAATACTGAAGAGGAAATATTGTTTCTATGTGTTAAATCTCTTTTGAATGGAGACTATGGGCATAATTTAGGTTATAATAACATATGAATAGTCTAAAAATAAGTTCCAACTAATATCTTATCACTGTTCAGATACCCTATTTTTTTATCCGAATGTTTTAGTCTGTTCAAAAACACCAGGAAAGATTATTTTCAATTTTCGATTTCAAAGTTAATTTCTATAGAAATAGATTTTAACGAGAATTGTTTATTGTAAAAGATTCTAATCTTTTGATTGATGTTCTTCTAAGATATAACTTTGCTAAACGCATATTTCGTATATCGCTCATATACAATGGTTAATTCTTTGATATTCTTATTTCAGTATAGGCATAATAAACTATTTTCGTTAAGGTCTATCTATCTTCGTTTAAAGTTTAAAGTCAAAATTCGAAAGTTAGTTTGCCTGGTATTGCATAAGGGAACTACGACACATTGATAAGAAATACAATAACTCGATACCAATTAACTATTATTTCGAAGTCTTTTAAGGTCATTCATAGTTCATTATAATCTATATTATGCAGATTTGAATCTACTCAAAAGTGATTTGACACTGAAATACGTTCTCTCGTCAGATGAAAATGAAGTCAAAATCTGTGAAAGATATTTCAACAGTTTCAATTGATGTAATTATATCTAAATAATAAATTAGTTTTCTAAGGATCATATACATATATCAACATATAATATAATATTAATATGACGAAATGGCTAGAGAATTGATTTCGAGATATTGTAGTAAATAAAGTCTATAGAAATATAATTATTTATTAAAGATCACATATATATATATATATATGAATATATAATAGATGATTACAAGTATCTTGCGATTCACAATTAAATTATTAGAAGAAAAAAAAAAAACTCAACATTATTAAATCTGAGAAAAAAAGAAAAAGATTTCTCATTACTACTTAGTTGTTAGAATAATTTTATCACAAAATAGATCATAGATATATTTAATACGAATAAAACATCTTCATTATTTTCTAGATTCGATTAGTAAAGTTCTATTTGATTTTTTTATAAAATAATGAAAATGTTGGTTATTAATAAGACAATAAATTATTTCTGTTGATCTATATAAGTTATTGATTGATTAAAAGAAAAAGAAAAAGAAAAAGAAAAAGAAAAAGAAAAAGAAAAGTATTTTGTTTGTTTGTTTGTTTGTTTGTGTTTATTTTTTTTCGAGTTAAAAATATTTATTTTATTTGTTAGAAGATAAAATAAGTTGAGCAATATGTTCAATCATATAAATTTGTTCTTGTTGATTATTAATAGCATGATCAGCTTTTTCAAGTAAAATAAATGTTGAATTATTTTTATTTGCTAATTTATTTTTAACAAAATTTTCCACATGATATTTAATATCATTTGGAACATATTCATCTTGTTTCGACCAAATCCATGTTATTGGTGTTTCAATATTATCATAAATATTTTTCAATTGTTCATCTGTTAAATCACTTGAAAAAAAATCTTCTATTGAATTTTGTTGATTTAATGATAAACAACGTTGAATAGTTAATGGTGGATCATGAAGATATCTTGGTAACCATTCATTTATATATTTTGAATTTTTAAAACAATAATCTAATTGATCTTTTGTTGATGAAATTTTAGATAAATATTCTCTATCACTAACAGGTCCTTGAAGAATAACTTGAATAATTTTCGAATGATTTTTATCTTGACGAAGATAATGAATTATATCTTGACAACCAGTTGAATGTCCCATAAGTATAATTGATTTTAAATGATTTCGATTATTAATTAAATAATTAATTAAACATTTTAAATCTTCTATATCATCATTAATTGTATGCCAACCATATTGAAGATTTGATGAACGAAATAATGGTTGAATTAATGAATAAGGTTTTGAAAGAGATTCAAGTTTTGATGAAAGTTTTTCAACATAAGGAAGTGATAAAAGACCATCTGTAAGACCACCAATAAGTATTAAACATCGAGATGATGATAATGAACCGGATTCAAATGCAACTAATTTATATTTTGAATCATATAGAAATAAATTACCGTACATCTAGAAAAATAATATTTCATTTTATTTTTTCAAAAACAAAATTCTATAAATAAAATTATAAACATCTGACACATTGAATAGAGGTTAAAAAGTCTATTTCATTTATTTATAATAGAAAATAATTTCTTGGTTATTTTTCATAAAATCCACTGAAGAATATCAAATAATTAATAATTTTTCTTTCTATAAATTAATGTAATTATAAATATGAAATTTGATAAAATTCTTTTATTTTACTTGACATGAATAAATAATTAATTAAGAAACAATTTACACTCTCAATTATTCTTTTTTTTTTTTTTTTAATTATATATTTAAAAAAAACAAAATTTTTCAATCT